TTTGCTGGGTCGTGTTCAGTGTTGCTAGTTGACGTTATTTCTACTTTGCGTTGGTGCCGAACTTTGCTCCAAATAGCCACGTACAAAATGGAAGCGACAATCGCTGAACCCCTGGAAAATCTGCATTCTCATATAGATCGAGTTGTTCGTTAAGAAACTTCTCGCTCGTTCTTTATTAGAGTTGCTCCTGCAATTCAGAGCGAGAAACAGACAGACTCAGCAGGGCACTTATCTGTTCGTGTACAGTTTACGTCTTTGCAGAGCTCTAGCGCACTTGTCGGGCCATTTTCATGCGAAGGAGTGCCACATCTTGAATTTCCTCTAGGGCTTGGTCTGTCCTATTGATCGAAAGGAATTGTTTACACGACTTCTCCCTGATTGTGCATTTAAAATTAGTACGGATGCTCGGCTGCTTCAGCGCGTACCATGCATAAAGTTATTGGTTCGCATCCGCGTCGATCTTGAGAATCTCGGAAAGATGCTTTCTCAGCCATGCGTTTCATATGTGCATACGACGAAATGATGCCTTCAAAAAAGGCTTCCTTTTCTTTGTCGTAGCTGAATGAAGCAAATTGCTCTTTAAACATTAGCTCTCATTAATTTCATTCATGAATGAATCACAAGTAGGCCTCTATCTTCGTCATATTTATGTCATATTATACCGAGCTAAAGTCGAATGGGCTAACATGACGCATTGGGTAAGATGAACTGTCAAAGGTCAAGCAAACGTATTATATTCGTGAGATTGTTGTGGTTGTGGAGTCGAATAAACCACTCATTCACTCTACAAACGTTCACTAATTACCGTATAGGCCGCCCAAGGATGCTCAATGGGACGTTACAATTCTTAGCGGAGGTTGAGTGCGCGACGCATTCTGAACGTTCATATTTGCTAAGCACTCTGCTTGGGCCATCGAACACAATTGTTCTCATAATCCATAGAGACTTCTGGTACAACGAGGGTCATTTACTCTTTTTTCACGAGTGCGTAGGTTTTATCAACAACAGCCACCTAGTTTCTGAAATGCAGACTCAGCACATGATATACGGTATTGAGGAAAAACGGGCACCAAAAATTCGCGCTTGGCATATTTTTTGTATTTTATTATGTAATTATTGATTTTTTTGAGGTCTCTGATTCGTGATCCACTGACGTTGTAGAATGGCAGTAATATGTAGAACTAGAATGGTCTTGAAAAAATCAATTTCGCATGATTGCTGGTGCTAGTGATAATTTTATGCCGTATGGTATGGTGGTGACCCTGCAATGCAGGTGCACCTGTCTACCGGATGCAAATGGTAATTACTTTTGGCGATTTCAATGGCCAGCGCTTTAGGGCTATGAATTTGAAGTAAATATACCATTGTATAAGAATGAGCGCGATATTAGTCCAGCTTGTGCGTCGTACTGTAGAACAAATGTCGTCAGTCTGCAGTAGACTCGATGAAATGAATGTGTTATAGATAGCCATTGCGACACAAAACAAAGGGAATAGACAATAGAGAATGAAAACACTGAAAGAAAAATCATTGAAAAATTCAAAACGTGAAACGTTCTGATCAAATTGCAGAAGGAAAATGCGGTATCCTGAGGTAAACTTTTGAGCAGCCTCTCAGGATCCCTTCCGGAGTGCTCATGCGTTCTTTGAAAACTTGGAAAAACTGACATGGATATGGGCATGTCATAGTTGAAGAATGCCATAAGAAATCGCTCAAGAGCGTCAACGAAAGCCTGAGTGGCAATAGGATTGTAAACGAAGTTCCGTATAGCGGAGCATTCCTGTACGCTAATCTGTAACAAGAGATGCTGTATAAAAGTGAAGTGGTCGTATTGATTGATCACTAAGTCGATAAAAATCCATACCTGTTGTCTGCAAGATACTCAAGCTAGGCTGATATTATCAAATGCAAGATCATAAAATGAAGCGACCACAAAAAATCCGCAGTTGATTGCGAGAAGAGTTCGAGGACGTGGCTGTAGATGTCTGGTCAGCAAAATGCTGACCATGACGATAGTGATGAATACAGCTGTGAATATATGAATTGGCAAAGTAGCCAAGATTGTCGGTAGACGAAAGGTTTCTACCGATTCCGGTAAAGTGGTGGTAGTTCTGATGCTCATTGTAGTACTGAGATCTGAAAGAGGTCCAGTATTAAAGGCTGTTCTTCAGACTCCCCTGAAGGCGAACCGGCTGATCAAGGGCGGTAAGAACAGTAAAGCGGCAGATAGACCCCAAGACTGGGATAGATAAGGAGGGCGAGGCCTTAATGTCTTATTGAAATCACTGAGCGATCGGGCGTGCACCATGGAACTGAGCTTAGCGCCTGGTGCATGGGCCTCTCAGCAGGCCTCAACGCAGTGCGATCTTACATTGTGTAGAAAGAGCTTGTCCTGCATTGTATCGCGCGGCGCTGCTGTCGGCTGATTAAATACACGGCCGTTATGGCCTGAAGTGCTATCTTTTCAACACATCCTCATCATACACGTACTTTTCTATCGTGCTATGGTGCATTCACGGTAGTAAGGCGGGACTCAGTGGAATTTAGATAAAATTGAACAAGAAGAGGAATTTCTGAGCGGCCGCCTTTTCATATTAAGAGTAATAAGTAGGCAAAAGCCTCAAGTGATAGAGCTAAGTACTAAGAAAGAAGCGAATACTGGCGAAATCAGGTAGAGTTCCCATAGAAACGGTTATCCATTGGGGTTGGGTTTCTAGTATATACTTGAGCACCTGATAGCTCAAAAAAGCGAAATAGCCTTGAAATCAATTCTGTGACAAGGTTCTTCAAATTTGGAAGTTTCTTGAGCTCTAAGAGAGCAATTGTTGCAAATGGTGGGGTTGAAGGTGACAAAAGATGCTATTTGAACTTCGCTCGTGAAAGGATACTATTCTCTTTCAATGAAGCTCCTCCCCCTCCACCAGTGTTGTAGCTAAGAAGTCCGTCCTTCCCCGTATTAAACCTTCGGCCAGTAGTATTAAGACGTCAATATGAAGCGTTTTCCTACCAGGAGTTTGAGAATGGCGCGCATTCGTCAAAAGGATGCCCTGGCGCTAATCCAGGGTCAACCGTCCGTTGGACAAAGTCCAACGAGGGGGGTCGTATTCGGCGGCCGACGAAAAGGGGGGTCGTATTCGCAAGGTCGGAGGCAGCGTCAATCCTACACCAACGGGGGTCGTAGTGTGACGCTTTACGCTTTGTGAGTGCTAAGAAAAAAATTGCCGTTTCACTGTTGATATACCCCCCCCCCCCCAGCTCGACGGCTATTTTGGAGGAAATGTGGGTGGAGTTGGGCTGTGTCAACTGAATACGGGGGGTCGTATCAAGGCCCAGAAGAGGGGGGTTCGTAAAATCTTGGAATTTTCCAAGGTGACGTGGATCCTTCGCCTAATCCTGATAGGGTGTCAGAATCGCGCCACGTACTGCTCGCTGAATACCATGCCACCGCAAACTTGAACCCTTATCTTAGAGCTTGTACGCTTTTAGAAACTTCTACTGAATGTTGGACCATGGACTGCCTACTGCTTCAAAGATAACTCAGCACTCAGGAATTCAGGGGTAAAATTTTAAGAGCTCAAACAGGGTCGTAATAACTAACAGGGCATAGCCTTTTATTGGAGCACAGAGATTCAGACGACTATTTCGCCAGTACAGTGGAAAACTTTTTGACTCGCAGTACGCAGACAGACGGACGCAGACATGATCGGCATGTGTTTTATTTCGGTCGTTTATCTTTGCGACGGATAAGCAAATATGGGGGCATTTCCTTATTCGCTAAAGGTCATTGTGAAAAAAGAACTATAAACAAGTGAAGGAAATTACAAAGAGTAATGTCACGGGCTTTCTAGTGGTGAAGACTCAGTTCCAATAAGCAGTAACTAGACGTAAAAGAGCTGTTAACATTACAGGGAACATTTGCGTGTTTCTTATGTATACGTTACACAGAATCCGTAAAATCTAATAATCAGTTGGCTGTTTTTACATATGCAACTAAGGAGAGATAATAAGTTACCATCAACAGCATAAAGGAAACCTTATAAGAAGCGCATCAGTTTGGGTAATTTATTTATTAGTACCTTACGTAAGACAGTGTTCGAGAAGAAGCCCATTAAGCGAGCAAAACAATTTTTAATAAAATCACGAGGCATCAAAGACCTTATGTTTTTGTACTTATAGTATTTGCCTAGCTGTTAACTTTTAAAGGCGGATGTTACGATGAAAAGGCAGCCCATTGGAAATTAAGTTAGAGATGGTAGTGATGCACGAAAGAAGAAAAAACCATGAGAAAAGGCCCAGAACCCGAGAAATGGGACCCCTTCCTTGCCCGTTGATTTCCGCATTGATGCGACTCTCATCGGTGCTGCCCTCTTCAACGCTAACGCCCTTATTAAACGCCCCCTTCCTTTCCCTCTAGCTGTCTGAGCCTCTAGCCGTTGCCGTTTAGTAAAGAAGGCGTTAGCGTCAAGAGAGCAGCACCAATGAGGGCTGCATCAATGTGGAAATCAGGAAGGAGAGGAAGGGGGCGTACCGCGCCGATAGCGCCGCGGGAAGGCCATGGCAGATCGCCGGGGCAGATCTTTTGGTGCGGATTGCGTGTCGGTCCGCACTTCTAGATGACCGCCTGTCTCTCCTAGGCAGGTTTCCCCTTCTTCGAAGCTTCATCCTTGTCGTGGAACCCTCTTTTAAAGAATGCTCTGCAGGGCTCGGTGAAAGAAGTGAGAGCTAATTTTTTCCGATTACTGCAATTAAAATTTGCGCCTGAGGGGAGGGAAAAGGGGTTTTCGGATCCTTTGAGATCACTTGAATTGAGCCCTAAATTACCGTAGTTGTGATTCTTATCAAATAAGCGAGAGTAATTGAACTTTTTGTTCCTACAAATGTTACAGTAATGGTTCATGTTTCCATGGAAACTCTGATATTTAGCGAAAAATCCCAAAATAGGGGAATGAATTCACTACAATACATAATTCAAAATGCATTCTGAGAATTGGTCCTTGCAGGCATCGAAGAGATCCACGCATGGTTGTGTCAGCAGGGAATGATGGCTTTGCAAGGGTTTTCAATCCGGACACAGGAGAAATAATTGGGGCCGTACAGCTGCAACAGGTACGTTTCCGAAGTGATTCTGCACTGTGCCCTCCATTTATTATTCGGAAAAAAGCGATTAGAAGACGTTTTCGTGATTCTTCTAAGTTTCTTTTAGTTGCTTTAGAATGTTCTTTTCTCAATAATTTCTTAGAAATCTCAGAAAAGAAATCAAACAGTCATCCAATTGTATTTGGGATTTCAATTGGATAGGAAAAAATTGGAAGCAAATGATCGAGGATTTGTTGCGTTTATATATGACAAAACAGGGGCATTCAGCACAGCGGAAAGGATAGCACTCTCTACCCAGTACACGTTGGGTGCCTCTTCTGCGACAATCTGAGCGGATAAATTCTCTTTCACACCTGAACGCCTCTACAGCTGTAACTTCTATTGATTGTGGCTTATTGCAGCGAAATAAAGACCCAAGGGTCTTCTTTGCTTCATTGGCTGCACCTATCACAGTAGGTCATTCTACCCCCGATTAGTCTCGGAAAATCATGGTAAGGAAAGCTTTCAATAAACATCAAGCTTGGGATTGGGAACGATTAAATTCTAATATGTTGACCAGTACGCATATGGTATTTTTGAGATGGACACAGTAAGGGGTTGAGTAGCGTCCAATGTTTTATCCTTTACCTGATGGTTCCATACATTTTCGGAGGTTCTTGTGATGAAAGGGGTAACCAGGCTCCTCAGCTGCGCTCTCCAATCCTTACCATAGCGCTTGACCTTCTTTAGCCAGACCCTATCGACTTTTTTCCGATCACCTGGCTACTGCGAAATTCGGATTTATGCTCCACCTTCTGCTAATGGTATGACCCCTTCCTCGTTTGCTAGGCTATGCATTTTTGGTCCCAACTGTAGTTAGATCAGAATTGTAAGGTTTGGCAATATACATCGTTTAAAGACACTCTCCATCTTTGGGGACGGGAGAAGGGAAGTGGGGTTGAGGGGTGAGAAGAATTTTAAGAGTGATGTTTCTGCTCGTTGCAGTCGTTTTACCTTGCTCACCATACTTTTTATTTCGGGGTTATTTCACTGTTGAATCCATAATCCATTATAATCCATCCGAGCAAAATCGCCCCTGTCCAACGCGGCCAAAATGACCAAAACGCGCCCTGTCGTCAACGTGTTAATCGCCCATTTGGGGAACACTTAAAAACCATGGTTGGGCTTCTTTGATGTAGTTCACGAATGCGGTGCTTTCGATACAGACAGACGAACAGGCAGACAGGCGGATAATCAGGAGGAAGTTGCTTCCTATAGCATGGCTGGTGAGGAAGCAGTTACTTTGTAAAATTTCGGTAATTAGCCCAATGGCGCAGTGCTCAGTATATGGACGCGCATGTCGCCTTACAAGAACTTACACTTCAAGCGGTATTCCCTTCTCAACTGATGTTGAACAGCCAATAGGTGACAGAATTGGCCACTGTTCATGCTTGTCGTTCTCATTCCACCATTTCTAAATGCTAAATCGCCTTCCATTGACTGTTTGGTGAAATCGTCTGTCATCTATCTTTCCCCACAGCATCCCTTTATACAGTAGACGCCTGTCTGTTCTCTTCGGTGTTCCCCCGGCCGAACGCACTGCTATCTCTAGAAAAGCAACCGCGACTCATCTTCAGTGACATCATATTTTGGAAACAGTGTTTGCTTACACCGTTGCGGGATTCGGCTAAAGTTCAGAAACGTTGAGCTTCTTGTTGTCGGAGGGTGTGAGTCACCCGTTTAACTACTTTCCTTATCTTGTAGAGTTCTTGAGGTAGGCGGACAAATGTGGATTGGTTGTAGTTTTAAGATACTCAATGCGTCATGCTGATCTCTTTCTTCACTGTTAAGGACGATCTTCGGCATGGAGCATATCTGCAGTTTACTTTCCTTACCGTTACCTCCCATCAAAAGGAGCGTCTTGGACAATGACATTCTTTTATCTCCTCGTATTGTAGTTTAGTTACTGACATATCTATGTTTTTGAATACCGAAAGGTGATAATATTGGATGGAGATTTATTTAGCGGAGTTTATTGCTCACTGCCAATGATATGGAAGATTTAAGCTGTCTTTTTTTGAATGATAGTGGAATCAAAATGCTTCTTCAGTTCCATTGTCTATATCTTTTTGGAGATATTGTTAGAGTAGAATTGAGATTTCATTATAAGAAGAATTTGCATTGTTGTTTCTTCATTCGAAGACTGCAAGGCTAAGTACTAGGCATTTGGTTGTCATTCCAGGTGGACGCGCCGTGCCATCCTCCAACATCGTATCACATTGATGCGTTTGATTACTTCAACGGTGACGGGGTTAGCGGGGTAAAGTGACGGCTATTATTTTCTCAGGCAGGTTCGGTACCAATTAGTTGACCAGGAGGGATGTAAGGCTTGGTTTACCTGGGAAGCAACCCCAGGATTATATTTTGAACTGTGCGCAGGGCTAACGGCGCCACTTGCTACTGCACCACTTCCGCTGCCTGTAATCAGTTAAGCAGAACTAATCTCTTTTTCGTCTTATCTCGTTTCGTTACAGTGTTTGAGTCATGTTGTGGCAGACGTTGATGAAAAATAAGGCTGTCTTTCTGGTTTTGCAAAAACGGTGATTTGAGTATTTCAGTAGAGAATTGAATTGCATGACGTAAGTGGCGTCAAATTTGTACAGGAAAAGCAATTTTAATAAATGATGTCCGTAAGTACGGCAGCTCTGCTCGAGTTGCCGTTAGTAATGTTGCCTACAATCAACTCAAATTGTACCGCATAGAAGTGGGAGGCCGGCAACAAGTATGAGTTGTCGTATTTCTGTAGTATCAAACTGTAGTTGAATATTCAAAGGCGTTTTTCACACGTACTACAACTGCAGTTACCTTGCTTAGAAGTGACAGGAGAGGTGCGGAAGCTGTGAAAAGAAAAGGGAAAAAGAAGCTGCAAGAATCACAATGGAAATAAAGACCATTTTCTAACTTCCCCCTTCATAGAGCCTCGGCATTGTAGTTGTGACTAATGCTTTCCTTCTGTTAGAGAGATTTTTGGGTAAAAACAATTTGTTAACGGCCTGACGTTTCCACCAGATCGTGTTTCTCAGAGGCCCAGTCTGCCACCGTGAGAGCGGAACCCCGCCATTTTATGTAGTGGTTAGTAGACCCTCTTTGGCAAAACAAAAGTACCGTTTCCTTGCGTGATGGATGAGGATTCAGGGAGGACAGTCAGAGACATATCAAAAACGAGCACACCTGGCCTTGCGATTCTGCTAAAATAGTGGTCGCGAAATTGTGATATTGAAGAGGCCGCTCTTCATAACTAGGCATTAAAATTAATCGCTGACTTGTGGAATGTTTTATTTTACCAAAGACAGTGAACACGGTAGATGGAGGGTACAGCGGTTTGGTGACGTTATTGGTGGACCGGACTTTTACGACGCGCTTAGGGTTGCAGTTCAGACCAATTACAAACTTCCACCAATCAAGCTCAATAATGTCGCCGAAAT